ATGTTTCATTATATGCTTTCATTATAATCATAAAACCTATTTAATGTTTAATTGTTTCGAAAAATTTTAAGGAAAAAAAAAAATATTCAAGATATATATTTTAATACGAGAAAAGAAAAATTTTATAGTAAAAATATATTTTAAAAATAGTAGGAAAAAAAAGTAGAAAAACAAAATAATATATGTTACTGAATGTTACAATCATATTACAATCATATAAAAAAAAGGCAGATATGATAAAGTTTACAGAAAACAATGTTCCACGTCCGTGGAATATGAGAAGATATAATTACAGAACTAATAGCTCAAAATAAATTGATTGATAAATTAATTATTAAAAAATTATTATGAAAAAATTAATTATTAAAAAATTATTGAACAAATGGCACAGGATGATGCTGTAAGGACAACACCATTTTTGAGAGAAAAATTTGATAACCATTTGCTTTGATAATCATTTAGAAACAATTCGGAGTAGCTGGAGTGTCATTATGGTCCTGGGCTCTGAGACATTTCCAGCTATACTAGTCTCAATCAGCATTATCCTAAATAAAATAATTACTACAAATACATACGGAATAACTTCCTGGAAAAACAATGTGACACATTCCCTCTTAGATTTATTCTAAGGAATCTTTTTTGGATTGATATCAATCAAAGGAGGCCGGTTCGCAGCATTCTTGGAGATTTGTATATCCCACCGAAGATCCATAAGCTCACGAAATGAACATGGAAGAGGCTTTAGAGGGGATATTAGTCTTTGGGAGAATCTCTAAAAATCAGAATTATTAAAACAACGAGAATTACCAAAATAACAAGAACTACCAGAACTTTCAGAATTCTTCAAACTTAGAATCTTTTCTGAATTTTTAACTTCGAACTTTAATAATAGCGTGAGACTGTCATTGGCATATAGACTTTATCTTTGATTGTCTTGCTAATCGAACTTGTCAACAACAAACTTTGTAATAATTATTTTTATATACCATAACTCCAGAAACGGGTTGGAGTTAACAATACAAATTATTTAGATATTATGAAGAAAGTGGACAAATTAATAGTAAAAGATAAAAATTAATTCGGCAAAAGAAAATACGAAAAAGATGAAATAATCGATTTGTGAATTTCAGAAATGATATAATTTATCAAATGAATTTTGCCTTATAAAATTGAGAAAATAACGAAAGAAATAAAGAAATATCTCTTAACAATATTAAAATGTACATTGCTCTAAGCATAATAAGATAATAACATAATAAGATTTTTAGAAAATAACATGGAAAAAAAGATTTTTATTTTATAGTAAATAGAAAATAATTGAAAATTATTCAGAATGCAATTACAATGTCATGGAATCCAAAAAGAAAAGCTAAATTCACGCATGTGAATATCCTTGAAGAGCAATAAAAAAAAAAATAATAAATAAAGATTATTGCTTAAATAAAGATCATCGAGCTACAATTTCAAATTTAAATAAATTTATTAATTAAATTTTCAATCGAAATACTTTATTGTTTTTCAAAATTCATATAGGATAATTGTATTTGGTATTTAAAAATATTGATATTTCATAATTTTCAATATATTAAATTTCTGACATATTAAATATTTTTCTTAGAATTATAAAATATATCTTCACTGTTATTCTTTTAAATTCCAATATCAATATTTATAAATTTATAATTCATATCTACCAAAGCTAATAAAATAATAAAAAATGATTTCTTATAATTAATCAAACTGAATCAATTACAAGAAATTACAAAAATAAAAAATTTGATTTAAATAAATCAAACTTTTCGATAAAATATTAATAATCATATTTCTTCTCTGTGTCATTCCAAAGCATTTAAAAATTTTTAATTTTCCAAAATTCATCAACTATTGCAAACCATTTTTCTAATATGCACATATATAATTGCATTGCAAATCTCAATAAATAGAAAAATAATGTGATTTAATTAGTAAGAACCATCAATTGCTAAGAGTCTAAAAAATAGCATACATATTAGTTAAATTAGTAAAGTATTTATAATAAAAATTAATGCCATTTAATCTTTTCAGTTAAAAATTGCAAGAAGCAATGTATCGTTTTATAAGATTCTTTTCACTAAAAAAAAAAGAGAAAACACGAGAAATGGTCAAGCAGCACATAAAATTAAGAAATGGAAATAAAATTTTTTATTCGTTTTTCAAAAAAAGAAAAGACTATTTCTATGCAAAAAGAGAACTAATTCTATGTAATGAAGAATTTCAGTAATTAATAATTTAATTAATTGGATGTCAATATAGAAGACAGTGTGAATTAATAAGAATGCAAAAATCTATCCTAAAATGAATAACATTTTAGAAACATTCCAGAGAAAGATTAAAAAAAGAATAAAAAGTGTGTCAGTAATTGTCTTAAGAAAGAACAACAGGATGATGTAGAATTTTTTTTTGCAATATACATAATATGCTTTCTTCTCATTGTATAAGAAATTTTGATTAATCTCTAGAAAATATTTAAAAAAAAAATGTATAATAAATATACATAGAAAGATAAACATAGTAAACACTATTACTACAATGTTACTACAATAACTGTGCAGTAAATACATATATAATACCATCATAAAAAAATGTGTAAAGAAAAAAAAATAAAATGAAAACATTTGATACGAACATAGATTAGTAGATCAATTGACTAACAATTGATTTCCATGCTAATAACAATAATCTAACCTGAAAGATTTTCTATATTTTGAATACAGAAGAAAGACTCAAAATGATAAATTATATTTCATAAGAATGATGGAGAAAGATAGAAAGTTTGCGCATGTTCTAATCGAAAAGCGAAAAATAATAGACAAGAATTTGGATACTACTAGACTACGTGCACGCATAAATATAATCTTCACATTAGTTTCAAAAAATATCATATGAAATAAGATAAAATAATTTTTCTTTGAAGAATTAAATCATACTATTTTTGGTTCTTTATATATATAAATGAAGAAATGCTGCAAAAATAATCAAAATCATTGTAAAATATAAAATTATATTTTCAAAAATAAAAAAATATTATTGAATTACTTAGTAATGTCTTATTTAGATGATGATTTCTCTCATATAATTTAATTTGAATCTAAAAATAGAAATTATGATATTTATAATGTTAAAATATTATATGATGTAAAAAATAATTTTATATATTTTGAATCGTTTGTATTAAATATTAAATTTAAATTTAAAATAAATATTAAATTTAAATTTTTCATTTGAAAATTATAGATAAATGAAAAAAAAAATGAAATTGTATTTTTATATTTTTATTTTTTTTTTATATTTCTTTCCATTAACTTATTTCTTTATGAAAGAAATGAAAAAGTTTTTTTTACATAAGAATTGTTACTTAATACCAATTTCTCAATTCAAAGTTATCTCAAGATATGTCAAATCATTGAATTTATCTTGAAATTGCTTACAAAGCTATATGATCAAAAATACATAATGTTATTTAAAGAAAACCGACAATTTTTTTATTGAAGTGAATTTTTTCGCATCAAATTCCTAATGATGCAATTTATAGATCATTGAAAACTGATTAATTTTTATACGAAACATTTTTTTGTTAGACTATTAAAAGTGTTTCAAAAATTGTAAGAATTAAATTTTAGACCTATCCTAAATATAATTTAATGTAAATGAATGCTAAAAATAGAAATTGTAATATTCACCTATTTTATAATTATTTTCTTGACAAAAAATTATTCATTAATTTTATAAAATTGACTGAAATTTCTGCAGATATTAATATTCAAATATTTATCGTATAATTTAATATTTATTTAATTATTTAATTAAAAATTCTATAATAAATGGCGAAATTTTATTTGTATTTCTAACTTTTATTTTTAAATGGCAATTTTGATTATTCACAATATAAGCAATATAGGCAAGCATTTATGAAAAATAATAATCATGATTCTTTCGCCCACCCTGAGAAATCCCTTTCATCGAGGAAGGGATTCAGACATCTCAGATTTTCGCTAGAACGCGCCAATCCCTTCCCTGAATTCAGGTCCACGATTTCTCTCGTGAACGTATATGCTTGAAACGCTAGAATGGCGCTCTCCGCGATATCTCGGCTCTAGTGAGAGGGTGACTCGAGAAATTGTGCAATTTTCGCCCACGAAGTCGTGCACGAATTGCACGACAGAATCTCAAACAATAAACAATAATTCTTATCAAACGCGCGTAATTCGAATATCTATGGAAAGCCTCGAATTCTAAGTTTCGTTCCGTTGTTACGGTTACACAAATTGAGACCCGTTCTTTGAGTAGTTCCTACTGGCTGTGTACGGAAAATTCACCATGATCTTATCACAGCCAATAGGAATCATCCCATCAAAGATGCGTATCTTGTAAAGTGGATGGCCGTATCCCTCGCGCAGGATTTTCTTCGGAGAGAACATGGCGCTAATTATCTCGAGAATTAGCCAGTATTTGCACCACGTGATTAGCGACGAACGTTTTTCAGCAGTTTGGATAACTTCTTATCCACGCGAGGATGATGGTGGAGTCAGTTCAGTATGTTTCATTCTCGAATCTAATGCGAGAGAATGTACCTTCCACATCAATTCCGACAATAGTAAGGCTTCACACAACTCGAGGCAAGCTAATTCATTTTGAGAGGAACGACGCGTGACTTTGCACAAAGCAAACGAACCACGACTTCCGAAATGTCGACAACTCGTAGCTATACGCTATTGTCCAACTCGTACCGAGGAATATATTTCAGGGATTTGAGATCGACTAGATAATCCCTGAATTCAATGTAAATACTTTGGGGCACTGATTCGTCCCACCCTCAGTTGCCAGAGTGCTGGCATAGTTTCGCGAGGAGAACTATGAGATCCACCAACCCAAAAGGATCGAATATTCTCGCAGTTTCTGAAAGGATGGTTCATGGTTAATGGGTCATTTAACTCGATAATTAGGTGACCTGACGTTGATTCTCAGCATAGATCAAGTGTACGAGGATCCTTCTCGGGTTGGGGGCTCACGACTATGAACTCGCCTCTTGACAATTGAGGGTTCGTTGGCGAGGCCCATTTTCGTAAATTTAAACCCAACGATTGTAGGAGTGTATCTATCTCCCTCTTGATCACAATTGTCTCTTTCACGGTGTTTGCGCCTGTTAAGAGATCATCCACGTAAAAGTTGCGCAGTATCGCTTGACTGGCCAGGATAATTCGCGCTGTTATCCAATCTTATCTGCCGCAAAACGCGCGTGACTAATAAGAAGATAAGAAGCTAACGCGGTGCCATATATCACTGTGTTTAGTTCGTATGTTTCGATGGGTTCTGGAGATGTTTTCCTTCATAATATGTGTTGTAATGACTGTTGATGTTAAACGACTAATATTTGTCGAAACATTTTCTCAATATCTGCGCTTAAGACAATACAATACATGCGGATTAAAATAGATAAAAGATCTTCCTGAACTGTCGGCCCAATTTGCTGCATATCATTGAGAGAAACCCCTATCGAGGATTTCGCAGAACCATCGAAGACTACTCGTATCTTGGTGATTGTACTAACGGTCTTGACGACAGTGTGATGCGGCAGATAGAAGTTGGAACTTTGAAATAATTAATTATCCGCATATACTTTGGTATATATGGTCATATGGCCCAAGACCAAATATTCCCTTATAAACTGTACATATGTGTAATACCGGCGAATTCGCAAGTTTTCGTTTCGCGGAGTTTTTCCGCCATCCCGCGCAAATCGCCCAGCTCGGACACGTCTTCGGTGAAAAGAATGTTGACAATGTAGCGCCCATTTGAATTCCGTCTCACCATTCTCAAGAACTGATTATCGCATGGATGAGGAACTACCTCTTTGTAAGATATACCCTCCAACTCCCAGAATTTGGATAACTGCTGATTCAACTGCTCGTTGGTAACTACGTTGCAGAGTTGCGATTCTGTGAGTTAACTCGTCTTTATTCGTCCACCGAATACCCATTCCAATTGCGATTTTATAAGGACGAGTAAACCCCTTCCCAATTTATGTTGCTCCATGATGGCCATCAATTATGAGATCTACATCGTGCGGAGCAAAATTGAGGATCCGCTAAAATGATATGAGATGGAACGCGAATCGTGGAATCTGAGAGTTGGAAGTTGAGTATGCTAGAGGTAGTTCTATCCATTATTAGACATGTCAGAGAGGTACGGAACGCGCTGCATCTGGAAGTTAGTTCGATATGGACTATGCCGCGTATCAGGCCGCTCGTCAGTGACCCCAACACCCGAAATGACCGTTCGAAACGACAGATGGAAGATCGCAAGCGAAGTCTTGATGACGTTCACTTGTGAACCTTGATCCAATAGAGCTCGATATTCATGCTTTCTACCGCTATTGTTCAGAAGATGATCTGTTCAGTATCGTCGTTAGTAGGCGGAACAGGAAGTTTACGGAATCACACTCGCGGACTCAAGTTCTCTGCGTCTGATTGAGCTTCTTCGCCACATGAATTAGAGTGTGATGCTTCTCTTTATATTGTTTGCACAATCCGCTGCTGCGTATCCTGTACGGAGACAGCCTTTAATCTCTTGATCCGAGCAATGCTGCGGTCATTAATCGCGAAGGATTTAAATTGCTCGTATCGTGCGAGTCTGTGATTTAAAGAACATAACGGGTAAACCAAGTTTCCCGCAGTCACCAAGGCGATGGTTCTCGAACGTGATTCGGTGGTTTGCTGGACCTCGAAGCAGTCACGGCACCTGGAATCATTCTAACTAGGGATTTGCATCGTTACTCAATGAAACTCTGCAAATCTTTAAGAATCTTCCAATGACCTAGTTCGGTCGCGTGCCATCCTCACTCTGCACACATCCGCGGATGCAATTTTATTTCCAATAGGTGAGTAAGTATTCCGTCTCAGCTTGACAGGTTCCCTCGACGATTTCAACGACCTGACATGGATTGAAGAAGTCGTCCACTAGCTATCGCAAGGCCGACGCTGAATCCGATGTCATCGAGGACAGTCCGGATATCCCTCCCATATGATGATCAATCTGTTCGTTTTTCCTCATAACGATCGCGTAATAGCCTCCATGCGATCGCGTAATTATCTTCCGACATCTCCAATGATGTTAGGACTCGAGATACCTCATCCTTCAGAGCGAATATGAGGTAGTGAAACTTCTCGATGTTAGAGAGAGAGTCATTGCAATTAACCATCGATTCAAAGCTATTGCGAAAGAAGACCCACTCACCCCGCTGAAACTAGGCAAGGAAATCGGAGGTAACCAATGGGAAACTGTTGTCTTGATTCGTTCCTCGATGAACAACACAGTTCGATTCAGCCATTCCTGGAGAGAGTCAGTCGACTGTCCATGCGCATCATAGAAGATTTTAAACCTTGTCAGGTTTGACTTGAGCCGACCGCGTTTCTCAATTAATCTGCGTAGCTCATCGTTTGTCTGTGCCATGTTTGACTCGAAATGAGATTTGATAAATTCTCGATCCACTAGACGTAGATAGGATTGAAGATAAGTATCGCTGCTCAATTTTTACTGCTGAAACCTGACTGTATACAGGAGTCCGACATCCGTGATCTCGAGTCTTCTCAGTTCATACTCGTTTCATACGTCATCATACTTCTCAGTTCGGAGATCCGGTTCAAAGAACCAAATGTTATTATTGTAGCCGGATTAATGTAGTCGCTGTGAGCCAATACGCGCTGGACTATGTCTTATTAGAGAACTCCTTATCAGTATTTCCCACATATGAATAAAATATCGTGTCTGACGATCGGAGCATGATTCCACACAATTTACTAACTGACTACGATTACTCTGTTCGAAAGTTTGTGCGGTAGTGGTTATTAGCCAGGAAAAAAGTGTCTCAAGTCGACTCTCTTCCTGGCTAATTAGAAGTATCCTAATTCTAAGTGGGGTATGTCGGTGATCAATAATATCATCGGCAGTGCCTGATTCGCAATATGGACCAAGATCGGGGAAATTCCACGTCCGGCAGATGTTTTGCATATAAGCCACGGATGATAACAAGCACGTCCTAATAAACCTAAACAAAGAGCTGATTCTGGCTCCGTTTTTCCATATGTTTTGAAATCAACAAGTCTAAGTCGATACATGATTTACCGTTATCCTTAACGACGAATACAATTCTTTGTTTAGGTCTATTAACGGCCCGCTATCGTAGGAACAGAAAAGATCTTGACAGAGACCTTCCCGAACAATTGTCTGTTTGCTATTCGCGAACACTAATATTTGAATTATTTTTACACATATATTGTTATCTTATTAACTAATACAAAAAAATTGCTTTATATGCTTGTATATCTTTTAATTATATTTTATTTATTTAATGAGTTATTTCTTGTAAAATAATTAAAATAATGTACAAAAATTTTCGATCAAATAATTTTTTTATTTCTTCTTCCAAAAACAAATTATAAAACATAAATATTTAATATTTAATAAAAGATATATTGTGTGAAATAATAGTGATATATGCTATTTATTGATACATATTTCTTTCAGGAATCACTGAAATGCAAAACTTTCTAACTGCTTCGTTTTATAATGAAAATAACATTAATAATTTAAAACAGTTTTTTAAATATTATAGTAATATAGCCATATTTTTCCAATGATAATTGCATAGCAAGATTTAATTAACATTATGTAACATAGCACAGAATTATATCATTCTTTTTTCAACATTTAAAATAATTTTATTTTATTTGAGTTCCTATGTTTTTCAATTTGATGTTGTATCTATCTAGAGATATTCAAGAAAAATTTTATAACTTTTTATTTCTAGATTTTTATTTTAACTATTAATTATTTTATTTTAAGATAACAATTCTTTCATGAGCTTTTATGCTTAAATATTCATTATGAAGTCATTATTATAATGAAATATATTCTTGTAGCATTGTTCTTTGTGCATATAATTTTCTAACTAATTTTTAATATATTCTTATGCATAACATATTTTATTATTCCTTTGATTTTTTATAAATAGACTAACTTATTTAGCAAGAAAACTTGTTCATATATTGTCATCATCGCATTTTATATTGTATTTTTGTTATCAACTCGAATATAACATCTTTAGTCATTCTAATAGAGATTAATTTTGGATTCATGAAGAAAGACTATATTCAGTTCAATATTCGATATTGCTATTTTTCAATAAATTTTTTCAATGAACAATTAAGTTTCATTAATTTATTCTTATTAAATCTTGCGGATAAAATGTCTGGTATCATAGTATCATCTCCCTTTTTAGAATAATAATATTTACAATTCTCTTCTTTAATATTTAATAATATTTACAATAATAATAATAATATTTACAATTCTCTTCTAATTTAAAATGTTTAGAATAATAGTTAATTTATGCATTATAATTTGATCGATTTCTATCTTTTTTTAAAACTCCATAGTTAATTTTTTAACATCATGTCTTAGGTAGTATTTTCTCATTTTGTCATAGAATGACATGTTATTTTAATCTTTGTATGTGTTGCTATTAATTTAATGATTGCGTGTTACGTAAAAATAAAATAATCTTCTTCCAGATAAATTTTATAAATTATTAATTTTTTTCAACTCTGGAGAAAATAATTTACGAGATTGTAAATTAAGAAGCTAAACACATAATCTGTGTCATTTATGAAATTGCAATTCATTTTGAATGCATGTATCAATAGTCAATTATTGAAATATTCATAGAATTTAATTATCTATGTAATGATGAGCTTCTTAATAACTTTAAATTGATTAAGTTCTTAATAATTTTAGAAAATAATTGGAACACATTTGTTTGTGAAATTTGTAGTATAAATTTTAAATTATTGATAAAATAAAGATGAAAATAAAGTTTGATATAATTATATCAATAATAAAGTTCGTGATCTTCATTTATTAGATTGCAACTAAAGAATATATTATCAAGATAGATAATGAGAAGGATATAAGATCATATAATATCCTAATTTGCAATCTGAGTGAAGTTGAAGATCTTTTCTATGTATCATATTATTCAATCAAAAAAAATAGTACAGTAATATTGAAACAGATTTATCTTCTTATGTTATGAAACAAAAAGAATTGTAATGCAGTTAAAATCAACAAAGATCTTCTTGAAATCTTTTTATCTTCAAATTAAATAAATTAAGTTGTTTTTCATACAATCAAAGTCATATTTAATAAAATAAAATAAGAATTATAGTCTCTTTTCACTTTATAATGACTTTGAAGATAGAAAATTGAAATTTAAATTAAATATAGAATATCATTGCATTTTTCTATTTTTTAAAATTATTATGTTGATCAGAAATGATATTCATAACTCTGAGCTTTGTTACAAACTTATAAATATTTATAGAAATTTAGTATTTGATAATCTTCATTGATGATAATGATTTGATTATCGTATAAATCTTTACTTAATTAGTTTTTATCTTTCTTTTTTTCTCGTTGTAGACAGAATAAATTTCTATAAAAATGCACTGTTAAAATCATTATCATCAGATTTATATTTTATCATTGGCCAATGAATTTGATTCATTGAGAATATTATAGCTATATTAAAAAATTTATAATTTCTCTTTGATAGAAATATAAATATTATATTTTTATTATATACGTATACGAGATTTTATTATGTATATGCATATTAAACATAATATATTATTATATACAGGCTTTTTATTTAGGGTTTATATAGGGTTTTATAATTCTATAAGTGATAAATTTTTGCATATATACCATTTCGATAATAATTCTTCAAGTAAACATAAATCGTGTATAAACATAAAATACATGAATATTTATTTATTTATTTATTCTTCTTATTATTATTTTGCATTAATATAACTTTATGGAATATTTGCAATAATTCCTTGAGAATATTATAATAATAAATAAATAAACAATTTATAATTTTTTTTGCTTTAAAATAAGAAATAAAAACACTAATTGATCGAAAACTGTTACACAATTGTATTAATTTTTAATATTATTTTAATATCATTATTAAA